AGTACAGGAACATTCTACAGTAATTTCATTTGGCACACTCAAGACTCCATACTCAAACTGTCCACAGTTCCTCTCTGGTAGAAAACATCATCAAAATAAAAGTCAAGTATAAAATCCTCGTGATGAACGAGAGGAAACTTCCTGACCTCGAGTTTTCAGCAGATTCATCAGGCCGCGTTTTAAACATGAATATTAATGCACAAAGAAAAAGTCTCAAACCAAAGTGGAGTTTTGCACAAAGATCTTTTACACACATCTGAAAAAGTTGTCGTCTTGTGTCGCAGTCGGCTCCTCCCAGTGAGCGCGGGGTCGCCGCTGCGTCTACACGTTGATGGCGTGAGCGTGCTTCTTGCACAGAGGTTTGTCTTTCTTGGAGTAGAAAGGTTGACCCTCCAGGTTCACGTGGCAAACCTGCGGACACACGATGACGAGTGAGCGACGAACATCTGAAAACATCTTTCACTCAAACTCTGAAATGTAATTAGAGCAACACTATGTAACTTTACTGAGCAGCAGCGCCCCCTGCAGCCTCAGGTGGTGATTGACTCTGTTGGTCCCTGTGTCTGATCAATGCGTTGAGCTCACTGAACTGAAGTATTACCCATGATCCTCTGCTCCCTGACCCAGAGGAGCTGCTGCTGTAACAAACCGTTCAGATTCTTCATGTTTTAAAGTTTCTGCTGAACATTGGAGATAAACTCTGGTTGTTAAGAACTGATCTCAGTTCAGCTTCACTCTTCACCTGGAGCTGATGGAGACTCTCAGTCACTTGTTCTCTCAGGAGATGAACCCACTCAGCAGAGAGAGAGAACAGACGCTCAGGGAGCGAAGGAGGAAACGTTCTCCACCTTCACACTCACTTGTTTAAACTCACATGTTTAAATGTTGTTGCTTTTATAATAAAACACTGAAAACTTAGACACTGTTCTGGACGATGTGTCAGAGGTCAAACGGCGTCCGTCGCCGTCCACCATGTTTGTGGTTCTTACCGCGCAGACGAAGCAGGTGTCGTGCCAAGTGTGACCCAGAGCCTCGATGAACTTATCCCCCGCCTCAACTGGGAAGTCACAGCCATGACACTTAGTGCTGAAGAGCGAGACATAATCTGAGAGAAACAAACAAACACAGATTTTAAAGTGGATTCTCTGACCTTTGACCTCTGAGCCCCGGAAATGTTCTGACTTATCAAACCAGTAAAAGTCAAAGTACCTTTCTCGCAGTACGGCTCCCCGTCCTCCATGTGGAAGAGGCTGTTACCGAAAGCTTTACCGCAGGCCGCGCACACGAAGCAGGTGGTGTGCCACGTCTGCCGCAGGGCGTGCATCACTTCCTGTTACACACAACACACAACACACAGCCTGACTCAAAACAACGGCCGGGTTCTCAACAGAGTAACACTTGGTCTGGTTCACAGGTAGAGGTGGACAGGTGGACAGACAGGTGGACAGACAGGTGGACAGACAGGTGGAGCGTCTCACCCCCATGATCTTGGTGTTGCAGCGAGCGCAGGTCGGGGCGAAGAACTCCTCGTAGCAGTTCTCGCAGTAAACGCTGTTCTGTTCCTCCACGAAGCTGACGTCAGCCAGAGACATGTGACAGTAGTGACAGTTGAACTCCTCCGGGTGCCAGGAGCGGCCGAGGGCCACGAGGAAGGGGCCCCTGCAAACGACATGTTTTTATTATTTCATCAGAATCATCCAGAGATTTCTTGTTTTCCTGAAAAGCAGTAAAATTACCTGATGATGTTGTTACAGGCCCCGCACAGAGGTGTACGGCTGCTGGCGGCGAACCTCTCCGCCCTCTGCGCCACGCCCCTCGCCACTTGAGGGAAAGGGGCGGGACTGGGGGTGATTGGGGCGGGGCTGGGAGCTATAGGTGCAACAGGGGAGGGATTGGGGATGAACGCTGGCGGAGGAGGTGCGGCCTGGGGCAGCGGCGGCACCTTCATGGTGGTGGTGGTCATCTTACTGGGGTCGAACTTGTCGGCAAAGCTGTTGTCGGTCACCCAGGGGGGTCTGTTGGCATCAGCTGCCGGGGGTGGGGCCGGGGCGGCGGCCGGAGGGCGAGGCTGTGGAGGGAATGGAACCGGCGCCGGAGCTGGAGGCGGAGCTAGAGGTGAGGAAAAGAAGACTTCCAATCAATCAGAATCAATAAATCAATCAACATGTCGTCAGTCAGCGTGAAGGCGCTCTCACCGGGCTGCGAGGGGTAGATACAGGCGGTGCTCACCACCTTCGGAGGGGCGGCGCCGAGCGGGATCTGAATGGAGCTCTGCTGAGTGGGTGGGGCGTGTTGCGTGGGGGGCTGGTGGTAGTGCTGCGGGATGTGTTGGTAGTGCTGCGGGGGCGGGGCCTGTGGAGCCTGATGCATGGCAGGAGGCTGAACGTACGGACTGGAGGAGGGAGCAGCAAATATTTCAGTCACAATAAAAACAGATGTTAAGAGTCAGTGCAGCTCGTCGAATACCCACAATCCTTCACTTCAAAGACGACTTTTAACCTTTAACTCTCTGCAGGGATCGAGCTGCATCTGCAGTTTCAACCTTTAACTCACCGTCTGTCTTCATGTGTCAGACACCATGAAACATCGTCACAGTGTAAAGACTTTATTTATCAGACTCTCTCAAACTTTACACAAGTGACGGAAACACAGTGAAGCAGCAACAAGGACAACAGAACAGAGGAAACCAGCCTGACGACTGTTAGCCCACAGCCGCACTCACAACAACTCAACTCAAGAACAAGAGCTGCGGTTCACTACTCAGATGGTGAAATGATGAAGCTGCCGGGGTTAGAGGTTCGATTCCCATCAGGGTCACCCACAAAGATTAAGGCCTCAGTCTGCGTCAGACAGAATCATCATTGAATCATCTGAACCGACTTTAGAATCAAATCTGAAAATCAAAACCACTTTTCATTCTTCACGGCAGAGTTAACGTGAACTCTCGACCTTTTTAACAGGAAGTCAACAAACTGAGCGTCTCAAACCTTTAAGAAGACGACTCGTAAAAAAGATGTCGGGTCTTCTGTTTTTTACAAACTTGGAAGAATCAGATATAAGTTATAGAAAAAGGTGCTTCTGAAGTGTGTCGTAATAAAAAGACGCAGGACAGAAGTTTGTGGTCTTTTTGTAAAAGTCCCGGCTGACGTCTACACAGAAGTGAAAAATAACTTCTCACAGACAAAAAGGTATTTTCATGTTGTTCGTTTCAACACAGCCAGGACGAGTCACTGAGGACTGGACGTTCAAAACAGACATAAACACTTTGACTTTTTCTCCTGAAGCAGACTGAGGCCTTGTTTCCTCTCATGGGAGGAGTTTAAGGGAAGAAGCCGATGGCAGATGGTGGTGATGATGATGAGCGTTGGATCCCTGCAGGTGTTTGTACCTGGAGACTGCAGCTTTGTGCTGGAGGCTGAAACCAGCGGCCGACTGTCGCTTCAGGCTGCAGAGACGACAACAGCAGAGGTCACCATGACGACCTGCAACCTGGCTTTATTACCGGAAACACCTGCTGCTGCTGTCTATCAACCGATCTGTCTACACATCCGTCTGTCTGTGTGTCTATCCATCCATCTACTGTGTCCTCTAAAGAGACGATGGACGAGACCCACATGAGAGGCAAAGGTCGACACAAACATGACATCACACGTCATGTTTGAAGCATGAACACGACCTAAGTACGAGATGAGTCTTCACGTCAAACAGGAACTTTAGCAGACGCTGGACTTTCCTCCTGCACACAAACGCAACACGCCTGGTTACAAATGAAATCCCGAGGAACAAGAACCTCCGACCGAGATCACCGAGAAACACAAACAGAGGGTGACGAACATCAGAGCAGTCGTTGACTCTGTGGAGAGTCAGGAGTCCAAACGTCCCAGTGTGTCACCAACATGACAAATCAACACATTCGATTTTGTATTTTTACTAGAATTTATTTTTATTTTCATGATTTCCGTTTAAATTCTGTAAAACTTGTTTTATCTCCTTTATAATCTTCAAGTTTTTAAAAATGTTTTTCTGAGACAAAGACAAACGAATGAAGTGATTAATAAACAGAAATAAAATCCTGGAACACACGCACTGATTGGTTACCTCTGAGGGGCGGGGTCAGGTGAACAGGGGGCGTGGTCCAGAGGCTGCACAGCTGGCGCAGCGGAGGAGGAGCCAGCACAAGTCGGAGCATGCTCAGTAGGGCTGGGGGAGGGGCAGCAACAGCGATAGAGAGAGACAGAACCGCACACACACATATATATA